TAAATGGAAGAAGGTTCAACTGAATCAGGGTAAATATAATAGCTAATGTCTGCTATTGTTAAACCAATGTCGAACGCTTTCAAATATTTTCTTAATGTTGGGCAAACGGAAGGTAGGATCTCAGAAATGTCAAGGCCTAAAATTAACCGCTTTACCAAGACGGTATACTCCAGCAATCTCAGCCGAATTGTTTTTTAGCATCAAGTGTCATCGTCGGTTCTCGAACCCAAGTCTTATAAACTAGAAACAATTTGAATATCAAGAAAACGCCATTGGTACACTCAACATTGAGGCAAAGATATAGTAAGCAAGTCACTATACACATAATTCCACAGCCAGTAAATCAAGCAAGTTCTGGGAAAATAGTTCCAGCATAGAAGATTCTTCCAGGAATTTAACTTGCCGAATCCTAGCCTAATCAGCTCGAATAACCCTATACCGTCAAATCATGTTCCATTATCTTATGAATACTTGTATGAGTCGTCGTTAATAGTCTCACTCATCAACGACTGTAGGATACATGATGTAACCGAAGACTTTCTTAATATGAGACTCTTCTCATTCTTGGAGAGCCTGCGGTATTGGAGCCGAATATCTGTCAATTGGAAATAGTTTCACCCAGATTTAATGAACAAGCTCAATCTTATTCGAATTTACTGTTAACTATTTGTATGTAATGGAATCCATTTAGCACATAAATAATTTACATCTATCTAGCTTGGCTGACGCGTATGATTCCTTTGGACGAAAAGTCGGGGCAGCAATGAACAGCTACGCTCTTCGAGTACTTACTTTAACAAAAATACTAACCTAACCGCAACCATGCTGGCCTAGGACCGTCAACTCGGCAGCATTCCTCAAATTAATTTCATTTTATCATACTTAAAATGTTTTCAGGCGATACAACAACAACAATCGCTTTAACCAAATATGTTGAGTACTTGACCAGTTCTTCAGTTTTTAGACATTGCCAACCAATCTAATAGATTTTCTTAAGTGCACCAAGAACATCGCAGTCAATATAAATACAGTTGGTGCAATATACTGCATTTTTCAAAACCACAAGTGTAGCTTAACCACTTCATTGGAAACCAATCAACATTTGCCAACGTAGCTTTGAAAAGTTAGGAAAAGTCTTGTTGATGCAACAAGTACATACGTAAATACATTCGCAAATATAAGCAGGCAACATCATCTGCATATCGCTGGCAAGCCTTAATGACAATCCTATTCGGTTGTAGTTACGTAAAACATCCTATTCAATAGCATATCGATCGGTAACGAGTAACCGGATGTAGCAATGGAGCTGTGTTGCCAGCACTGAGAATGCAGCATTATAGGTCGAGTAGTATAGCACAGGAAAGAGAAAGTAATGAAAGGTAGATAATGTACACAATTTCAGTATCACTTGCATAAAATCTTCTAAGTAAAGTCAGAGAGGGGAATTTTTTGAAATGTTTTTTTTTTCTTTACTAGGCGCATATTGTAGATCTCCTTTCACTTGATGGATGTCAGTCAGCATAGAATAAATTGTCAACACCTATTTCATATTGTTCGACCGAAGATGTGTCTTAAGGGCTGAAGCTGACTAACCTGAACGCTTGGATACTATAGCGGATTGGACAAAGAACATTTCTTTTTCAGAATTCTACCAAATTAATAATGTTTTTGCAAGTCCAAAGTGTAGTATAAGATTAAAAATAAATAAAAGTGAATATTGTCTATATTAAAGTTTTTCCGGGCAATCTAGCAAATAACCTAATTAACCAAAATAATTTATGCTCATTTTGGAAGCTTGCAATCATTTCTTTCTTCATTTAACTGTGTTGTTGTTGTAGCGACGGTAAACATTCCACAACGAATTTTAAAGAATACTTCCGAATTGACCATCCTTGGCCGAATATAAATCCGAGTCTATTCCGGTTACGCAGACCAAACTGTCATATGCGTATACTTCTTGCTGTTATCTTCTAAGAGAAAGTAAACTAAATATTTATATATATTATAATTCCACATCGGCTTCCTCTGCACTCTTTTTTGCACCGGTTTCTACTTTTAATTAATTTTGACCTTCTGCCGGTTTCAGGGTCTAACACATGAACAGCACGATATTCACAAAAGGTCCAGAAAAAAATAATTAGTGAACAAATTATACAAATTCTGCACATCGTGTCACAGATCGGAGCTCATATCTAGACGCTATGAAAAAAATATTTATTTATATATACCGGCCGATAGACAACGCTAAGGCCAAAGCTTCGTTCGGTCGTTGGCTGAAAAGGATTCGCAATATTTCTGTTTCTTGCAAAAATGTGCCGTCAGTGTCAAAATAATATTATATATGATTTAGAAATATATTATTTCAGCGACTTTGTACTCTCCAAAAACGAATTGAAGCGAATTACAGTAAGTGTATGTAAGTGTATTCCAGAAGCGTTTGGGCTTAACGAAAACAATGCAAACTACATACTTACATAGATACAAACTTTTACAGTTTTTGCATCACGACTATCAAATGCGATACAATCTCAGTAATTGCCAATCAATTTTCAATTTGTTTCACTTGAAATAATAAAAATATTTGATTATACAATGCTGAAAAGCACATTGAAGTATACGTAGTACATTATAAGAGTGAGTGTATGTAATTCTTTACGTGTGCTTGCAAATGATGACGCACCTAAAAATGTGTACCAGAACAATCAAATACGATGAAAGTAATCATTACAAAGGCTTTTGCATGTACATATATATACATACATATGTATGTATGTGTAAGTGTATGGTTGTATGTTTTTACAACTAGCAGTGATTGCCTTCCAATTCATGGCTTCACAATTTTGATTCAGTTGTCAGCAGCAATTACTAACTTGTAACAAAAGTGAATTTTCATAGTAAGCCATTGACAAAAGACAAACTTCAAATGCCTTGCAATACATGTACATATATTTATAAATAATGGTTTTATCTTGCATCAGATAAACGTATGATATGTGCATTTGTCGGTTGAAAAATGAATTGATCATATCAACATTTCAGATTACAACAATGTTTCTTACACTGTAGAAAAATGAAATACTACTAAACTGGTTCAGTTTTGATGCCTTTGGCACAAGTACTAGTTCATTATACCCTGAACAGAGTATATTAAGTTCTCCCCGAAGGAAACATCAGAGACCTTATAAGGTATATACATATGTAAATGATCAGCGTGACAAGTTCATTCGATTTAGCCATGTTCGTCTGTCTGTCTGTAAATGCGCGAATCAGTCCCTCAGTTTTTAAGATATAGATCGGAAATTTTGCACACGTCCTTTTCTTTTCAAGAGTCATTACCCGGAACCACTATAGATAGAGCTGTCATTATTGCAATAATATTTTCAATTTTCAATTTTTAATCCCAAACATCTTAAATTAATATATGAAAATTTAGTTTTTACTCTCAATGTTGGGCTGATATGGGGTTAATAGTTGGAATTAAAAAATTAAAATCCAATTTTTAATCCCAATATCAGAATTGGCTGTCAATTCTTCGTATGAAAAACTTTTTATCTGACATTGATACATATCTTCCAGAAATTTGGTATAGATATTTATCCGAAGCTATGCTACGCTGTCCGAATAACTTGTTCAGATCAGACAAATATAGCATATAACTGATTATATTATATATTAAGCTTATCTATTACATTCCACATTATACTTCATCTTATATTTTTTTCGCAGACTTGATCTGTAAGTGTAACAATCGCAGTATACCAGCTCACAACGAAATGTCACTCATATGGTCTACTAAAGTGTTAATGCGCCGACCGATTGAAACCGCTGGGCATATAAATTTAAATTTTTTCAACATTTATGAATCATATTTAGACTTACATAAAACTCTAACTATTATGACTGCATAAAAGAAGTACGTGTGTGTATATAACACTTCAAAAGGCTTTTCTTACAAATTTCCCGTCTCATGTGACAATTAAACTGCTCAGCAACTTAACTGTTTTTGACATCGCTGTCAAAACAACTATTCTAAACGAAAGGAAATAGACAAAAGCGTATTGATATGAGAAATTAGAGAAAGCGATTGCTACTAGAGTATCTTTTTTGCTAAAAAGTGGATAAAGCAATCTGAGTTACTCATAACAATTAAAAAGATAAGAGAGATTAGAAACTCTTACAAGAAATAGAGAGTGTAAGCTTTAATCAGCATCAATTGGTAAAGGTTGTTCAATCAATCAGTCATCGTCTTAATAAGTCAAAGCCACAAAATTAACCAGCATTGTTTTTGTTTTTGAATTGACAGAAGTTAAACTGAGTTTTCTCTTTTATAGAATATATCTTAACGCTAGGATGCTATAGTGAGGGAAGAATTTCTGATAAGAGAGCGATCGGTGTACACTTGTTTGTTTAAGTTTAAAGCAAGTTATGTTTGGAAAACAAGCAACAAGACTCCAACATACTGTTTTTATGCAGAAATAGTCTCCAGGGCAATCTGAAAGATCAAACATACACTTTGTAAACTCAAAATTTAACAATTAGAATTGAAGAGTGATTTGAGGTGAGATTACAAGTCCATTGACATTATAGAAAGTTAAAAACTTTTTAAACAATTAATTTATTGTAATTTAAATAACAAATGGCGAAACAAATTGTTTTTTTTATTCTACAGACTTGAAATACCAAACAGCCATCACTGCATTTTACGAGCTATCTGCGAGACTGGGCAGAAATCTAATGAGCGTACACCCGGCACTTTTGTTGGTGAACTAATGCGTGCTCTTTTCACAATACCTGAAGCTTTGGATGAGGATATAATGGAGAATCGCATACATTACAAAGATAGACGATATGACGCCGCCAATACATTCCAAGGCAGCTGTGCCAAAGAGTATGCCCTCTGTAAGCAATCGCTCTGGAAATCGCAATTCGTTCAATAGAATAAATATGGTACAATATTGAGCTTTCAAGATAATTATAGAAATAAAAGTTAAATACGAAATATCCCCTCTATTCTTTTATAAAGAAAACACTTGTTGAATTATATTTACAACTTTTTTTTATTGAATTATGTGTGCATTATCACTATTATTGTTGAGTTCCAAAATATTTAGCTCTGCTTTTGTCCCATCAACCATGAGAGCACATTAAACGGGCACGCATTCTTTAATTTGTGGTCACATGTTTCGTAATCCGCTTGCACAATGCGACTGTATTCGTCCTCTAGACCAGTTTTTGTTGGAAATCTGTGACAAAAGAAGTATGTATAACAGTTATAGAAGAAGAAAAAATGTGTTGCGTATTTCATATAATGAATTTTAAATTCACTTTTCTATTATTTAATATTGTTTTTCAAAATTATTTAATTGCTATTTCTTTTTACAAAATGTTTTTTACTATTATTTTAATAATCTTTATATATTAAGTTAGTTATTTTATGTCAAAATAATTTTTTTATTTTATTTAACTTTTTTTTATTCATTTTTTAACTATTTGTTTTTGTTTTATTTTTTTCATGTATCTACCATATTTGTTTGTCTTATGTTGTTTTATTTTTTTAATTTACATTTTTTGTTTAATTTTTTTCAATAAAATTTTATTTATACTCACGTAAACATCACACGGAGTATATCCTGCGCTAATGAGTATCCCGGTGGCAGCAAAAATCGTTTGCAATCACAGATTGCGCGCATAATACAAGACTTCAAGTCTATGCCGAGGCTGTAAGATGACGACGGTATGTCAATTCAATTGTAACTCGTTCTATATAGAAGTTTTTATCTGATTAAATCTTTACGTTATTCTACTAATAGCACTGTGCATATAAGTTATGAGAAGATTTGAAATCCTATATCGCCATCCTGCTCACATTCTCTGCCTCTCTTCTTTTATCTCTCTTCTCTCCCACACACTTATATGAGACTGAAAACTTAGGAAACAAGCTTTGACACAGAAAACACAAGCTTGAATACAGAAAAAATTTAGAAAAAATTCGATACTCTACAAACAAATGAAGCATTACTCTACATGATACCTTAATGTTTTTAGAACAGTTTTCAATTTTACCTACTATTAAAGCCTTATCATAATGAAACACTTACATATTGCTCAAACCGTGCAACTGATGATATAATTGCCTGCGATCGCGATAATTATGATAATACTTCCACTCATGATGATCTTCTAGTTCAGGAAAATGCATATATAACGGTTCTATTTCATCCAACTCTTCTGAAACATTAACAGAGTTTAGATCGTCTTCATTAAAGTCATCACTTTCTAGCGGATTAGGTTTATCGCCATTTTCCGTATCACGTTTCCAGCGACTGCCTTGAATCCACCTGTCATCCGCAACTTGCTTCTGCTCCCATTGTGGCCACTTGTTAGTGTTTTGCTCCCATTTCTTGTTTGACGCCCATGGTAACGGCGTAGTTGTCCATTTACTCCATTTCATGTCTTGAGACAACCAATCGGGCCGCTTGTCGGGCCATTGCTTCGCGGGTGACCACTCATAACGCTGCGCATAGGCAGGCGCGCCATACTTGGACCATTGTTGCCACTTATATGGCTGCGTGTAATATTGCGAAACTGCTGAGGTTGGTGGCGCTACTAAAGGCTCCACAGGCTTCGTGTCCACCCATTGCAAAGGCTGACCCGACTCGTCGATGCGTTGCACTTTCGCCGGTTTTGCAGCTGGTTTACCTTTGTACCTTATTAATGAACCCGGAACTTGTATTATCAGCGGTGGGGTGGGACCCTTAGGTTTAGGTTTAGGTGTGGTCTTCGGACGTAAACGTTTCGGTATTAGATCGAGGCGACTAGTGATCATAGGATAATAAAGAGCCGCTTCAATATTAAAATTGAAACCACTAGGATAGCGCGCTAGCAATCTTTTAGAAAGTTGCATTGTAAATTTTAGACGGGTTTTAGCTGGCGCAAGAAGAAAACGTTTTTTGCGTGAAAACACACGTTCCACAATAGGCCGTAATGTGGTGGTGCCGCTGCCAGCGCTGAATGTGTTTATTGAAGTCGTGATACATGATTTAGAGTTAAACATTTTCTTAGTTGATGCGTTTTTGGCATCTATTTTCGGTAAGTTCGATTTTGATAATAATTTTTGGAGTACTGGTTCAGTTAAATTTTGAGCCGCCGCTCTTAAACAACTGAAAAGCAGCAATAAGTGCAGAAAACCGTACACAAGAGTTAATTTCATTTTTTCCACGACGTTTTCATCTACGTGTGATCCATACGTACTTTTCGTTTGACTTAAAATAAAATACTACTTGCAGTGAAATATTTGAAGCTATCAAAAGCTCAAAAAATTCGAAACAATTTCCGGCAATCACTTAACAGCTTTTCTATAGTAATTTATACGCTTTTTATTTTGACTATCTTCTTTTCCTTATATTCTTGTTTGGATTAAACCAATTGATCACACCAACGACACTTCTGCTCAGCACTAATTGAGCCATCATATATTCAATTGTATATACTGTATACTGATACTACTCATTATTATTGACACAAACCATTTACAGCTAGTTGACATCTCTCTTTCAATCGACTGTCAATAAAGCTGCCAACAAACGCATTTGATACTCCAATAACCCAAATGTTTCTTCTCAAATTATTTATTCACTATTTCGGCTGTAGGTGGAAGTGGGTTTTATTCAATCAGCGTTCATCAGTGACTTTTTGAACTTTATAATGATCAATTCGACAGCCAACATGTCTTGGAAAGGAATTTTTGTAATACTCTCTGCATTAATGCTTAAACGCTCGGATAGTTTGATTTATTCAAACATGTCGACCAATTTAGGTGTAAGTATATTATATAGTTCCTATACTCTCTCAACAATAACTGTAAACCCTCTCTTCCTCCCTTAGCTTGTCCACTCCGTCTCTTATCCCGTTGTAGAGTACCTGCCTGAACGTAGCATACTCATAGATTGGTGCTTTCAAATGTCCTACACTTTACCGGGTTCAGTTTCGGCTTTTTATAACATACCAATTTGGCCTGGAATACAGAATCCGAAACCGCGTAGTAAGCGTAGAGTTGACAGCGATAATGACAGTTTGGAAGTGCAAAAACATTTGCAGTGGTTAGATAAATATGATCGTAAGATAAATGTAAATCAGCATCCGATGGACTTAACGGCTGGGGAGCTTTATCAAGGCATCGAGGATTATTTTTCGAGGTATTTTACTTAGGTGAAATTAAGCCTAGACAGTGATTCGTAGTTGACGAATACTCCAAAAGTGACAACATGTAAATACGGTCTGTGTCGGTTGCGTAGATCCCATCGCCGTTAGAATTTGTGATAATTATTCCCCCGACGACTGGTGGATATTTGAGAAAATCTAGGAAATTTTCTTATACAAAAAATCGGTGCGGCATTGAAAACTTTTCATTTTAAAGACATACTATTACGATATCAAGCCAGAATTAGTTAAAAATATTTTAAGTCGTATTGTGATGTTAGAGAAATTAATAATGTAGTGTGCTATCGACCCGTATTAATCCTTAGTTACCTAATCGTGTGGCATAGAAAAAACAACATAGAGAAAAACTGCCAATACAAGGCATACCACAAGCATATTTTAGGATATTGTAGATAGTGAATTTATGTTGTTCATTACAGAACAATTTCCACGCGATCTATCTTTCAGAGAGTAAACTTAGCAAAATGCATTTTCGCTTCCGACATGTGACACTGTATTTTTACATGGTAAAATTGTCTTTTTAACAGCATAATTCCCACGTAGATGCATTTTTGAATAAAAAAAAGTATTTCTCAGCTTCGGTGTACATGAAACCTGTCTTCTACGCAGCGTTTGCGAGCTAGCACAACATCCATTTGACGATAACCACCATACAATTCTCACGGAACTATTGACATTTATATTGACGTAAGTAGAGGAATTTGAGTAAAGTAGATAGATGTGTATTAAATATTTATTATTATTCTATTTTTAAAAATTTATTGTTTTTGTAATTATTAGGCCATCTCTGCATCAAGGTTTCACCAAACATGAGAAAATTTACCGGGAGGCGTACGAAGCTGCCGAACTACATGGGTTTTTAGGCGAAAATTGTGCTATTCTATATTCCGAATGCGAAAGAGATATTTTAAGTGATGTAACAAAAATTATAGTAATAAATGATTAATTAATCAATCAAAGAATTATACAAATGCTCGACGTTTCGTCTATGTTGCATCCGTAATACCTACCTTGAAGTTGATTTTTGCTTCCTTTAACAATCTCACTTTTACTTACACACTCTACAACATTTGCAGCCTAAACTACATTGGGAGTTGGACGATTTGTTGCGGTAGATACTCTGTCTCAAACAGCTGAATGCTTATCACTTGCAAACAATTATCTAAAGAATTGTTGTATCTAAAGTAGGTAGGTAGAGTGGATGTCTGAAGACACACCAAGGCCTTAAGTAGACCTATTGTGAGTATCCAATATGAGAAGATAGAGATTCAGGGCTAGGTACCTAATTTTTTGATCTTTTAAACATCAAAAGAGCTCTAAACGTATTTTTAACTATATTCTGTGACTCTTATATTCCACAATATGATTTGAATTACTCAATACATTATTTCAAACCATTTTTCAATTACCTTACCTAAAGAGTATGGGGTAGTTGATGTTAACTCTGAACCTACATTATATTTATCTTAACCTCACTCAAAATCCATTGTATGCATCTTGGCCTAATCTAAAACTAAGCTACATATAAAAGACTTTGGTACAGATGATGAATAAAATATAGCTTCATGCCACGTAGCTGCGCTTAAAGTTTTCTTCCATTGATAATGTTAAAAAAACTCAACTATTTTGCCGGGTTAGGTTTGGACGTCTTCAAAAGAGTCAGTAATAATATTTTTATATCAGAACTCTCTGCTCAGAAAGAAAAAGGTTAGCAATGAAATTTCTCAACAAATTCCCAGATCTCGATCAGCCTTTTCTCAGTTGCACCTGTATTTAAATTTTTTTCAATTATAATTGTGCATTTTCTTTCAGAAAGATTCCTTAAATATATCCGTCTCTCCAACTTTTATTAAAATATATTAGTTTTTCAAGAAACAACTTCAATATATAAAATCTTTCTGGAAAACTATTTACTATCAGGGCTAACTTCTCCCAACAATTTGAAAATGCCCTTGTCAGAAGGTAACACTATGAGTTAAAAGTCCTGCCCGTTGTGTGTTTTGGGAACACAGCCAACTACATGCTCTCTTTTCAAAGTTTACAACCCTTGTTTAGCCCTTATCTATGGAGGACTAGAAGTCAGAGAGAGTAGAACTATTGTTACACAAAAAATCTCTACCCATTAGCGTCCTTAATTTATGTATAATAACGCACAAGAATAAGTCCACAATTAAATTAAGATAAAACGAGAGATGGCAACCAAGCAAATATATAAGAAGAACCAACTTTGCACTCAAGAAATGAAAGATTTAATTTGTGATTCCGCTCAATAGATTTGCAAGATCGACATTTATCGTAACCACTTTTGATATACGGAGCACTGGTTTGGTGAACAGCATTAAAGAAATACTATAATATTAGAAAACTAAATGGAATACAGAGAGCAGCCTGTGTAGGGGTGGCTATTAAGTCATGTCCGACTGATGTGCTCAATATACTTCTGCATAGGGAGTTGGAACAGGAAAGATTTTGGACATAGCGCCGTCCTGAACCAACTACAAGTAAACATAAGTAAATCAGACTAAATTCTCCAAGGTTAAATTTCAATAGCTACTTCCGGGTGAGGATACCCTCTAGACTTGAATGGATTGAGGTTTAGTAGGAGAGAATGATACAGCCTCTATCTATACAGACGAGTCCAAAATGGTTTCTGAGCAATGCACCATGAGTCTAGACCATAAATCCGATGAAATAATTAAAGATCAGCACGCTCAAGGCTCATGGCAGCTGAGTCAAAGTTGAGGCAAAACTGCAAGTTTTAGCTTTGTGTGGTAAAAACAACAAAACCGTATTACTGTATATTAATTTTATTAATCGGTAACCGTTATGTTATATATATTGAACAAATTACCACATGCCGCTACGGATTTACTATATTAAAGCTGGTTGCCATTGACAAGCTCAAAACCTAGATTTCCCGCACAAAGCTAACAAGCTAACTAATATTGTCAACAATTTACAAAACAAATTAAAAATTGCCACCTTCATAATTGAGGGTATGTATGTTTTGCTGTATTTGCGAATCGTGATTGAGACTTTCTGGAAAATATTACGCGACATGACAGTTTCTTACCAAATGTTAAGCAAAAATCTGGATTAACACCTTTTTTATAAGCAAAACAGCTTGGCAATTCATTAGCGGTTTAATTGCAGCAAACAAAACCAATTAAGTGTGGTTATATGATGACCATGACTACAAAAAATGTATTAAGCATTCCCGTGACGCAAACTATTTGTCGCCAATTAGACACCGTTGCACTCAAATCACAATGGCCACACATTTAGCATTCAAATATGTGAGATTAACAACAATTACTAACAGTAGACAATATGTTGTCGCGCTATTGTGTCATCAAAATTTACACCTTCGTGAGCTTTTTTTTCAAAAGCTTTCACATAGCTGCAACATACTTGCTTCATCCTAACGTCAGCGTGCTACAGGTACTAATCATCATTAATATTCATCCAAAAGTCAATATTCGTTTTTTGAAAAATGCGTGAATAAGAATTATACGCATATACGTATGTATATAATAGACCAGAAAATATTTCTTTCAGATAACAGCCTCCATATCCTATCCGATTGTTGATTTACCGATGCACCGCACATTTTACTTCGATTGGGGGTTTCAAATGAACTACGACTTCCCCTATAACCTCTCTTCCTTCTATAATGCGCCAATTTGGAAGTTAGAGAAACGTGATGTGAACAACGATTATCCTCGAGGCTTTAGTAAATTGAACTTTAACAATTTAGAAACACTGAAGTACAATGGAGCATTTAAAAATTGGTTGGATCCGTCTAAAAACGGACATTTCTTCGATTTCACAGCTGGTGAATTATATAACTCACTGGGAAGCTTAATAGAAAGGTAAAAGTTCAAGCCTTTATATAGAAAAGGTATATATAAAATATTTTCTTTTTTTATACTCCTCTCTAGCTATGGCTATCACCACAGTTGTTTACAGCAGAGCGTGTGTGACATCGCTAGAAATCCATTTGATGCTGAAGAACATCACGTCATTAGAGACTTGATTACATTTATCCTAACGTAATCCCAAATTTTATTATTTTATTACAATTATAATTTTTTTTTTTTTTGATTTCATATTAATCTCTTTAATCTCTTTAGGCCCTCATGGCATTTGGGTTTTGTTGCAAGCGAAGAAGCGCAGCGAAAAGCTTACGAGATAGCAGAATGGAGTGGTGTACATGGTTTAAATTGCAAAAGACTCTACCCAGCTTGCAAAAGAAATATTCTGCGTATTATCACAAAAGTGATTTTCGATAATAGTTGATTAAGTTAATTTATAAAATTTTGTAAGTTTTGGTATTTATAACATAATATTTATATTTTAAGTATTTCTAATAATATTAATACATTAAATAAAAATTTATATACCTTAGTACAAGGAAAAACTTACGCTTCCCTTGGTGGCCTGGTAGTTTTTTGTCAGTCCGTTTAAATTTGATCAGATGTCACTCATTGATTTTCACCACCTACAGGTATAGGTTGTGCAGGATAAGTGGTGAAAATCAATGAGTACCATCTGTTCAAATTTGACCCAGACTGACAAAAAACTTCAATAATGTAGTCTGCTGAGCCAATCCTAGCTTTTCCATACACTTGTTATAAACCTATGCTGGGATGTGCTTAAGCGAATTTTGTTTTCTTCGGTTTCGGCTCATTTTTGAAGCACGGTTCCCTATATTTTTGGACGTCATATTCATTAAACCACGCCTCGGTACCAATAATGATGATGCGTTTGATGAATGTAGTGTCCTCAGTTTCGTTATCAAACATATTTTTTGCAAACTATACTCGATGTCGTTTTTGCAAAATATTCAGGTCTTTTGGTACGGGTCTAGCATTGTCATGCTTCATACCCAAAACAATAACCAAAATTGGTTAGGCGATCCATAAAAGATGTTAAGATACTCTGCTATCTCTGGATAAGCGCTCTTCGAGTCGACTGTGCTCATTTCACAGAAGTGAACGCAATTTATTTGAGTGTACCGGATTCTGTCTGCAAATTGCGGCTAGGACTCGGCTGGCACTCCTTAAATGATACTGACTACCATTTTAAATGACTCCCAACAATCGTTCGTTTAACCGACCTATTAACTTCGGTCTAATGCCATAGAATAACCCTTAAATAGAGTTCAGACAACCGCTACAACAACCGAAACCTATACATAAGCTCACTTTGCTTTCGAAAATAACGAATACCTAGATGATTTCCGTAGGATTTGTTGGTACAAGTCATAATATTATATTTAAAATTGAAAATTATGTATTTGGACAACTTTTCAACATTTAATTTTTCTGCACGTTTTTGGGATAAAAATTAAATTTATATTATTGAAAAGGCCTAAAGCTCCTTTCATTCTAACCAGAGTCCAGTTTTCTTGATGAAATTGCTTTATTATTTATACAACACAGTACTTTAAGATTTAGAACTCAGGAGTAAATTAATACGCGCAACAAACTGCGTCGATTATATGCTCAGTTTTTGAAATATCGGTCTGAAATTTTGCACACGTTCCTTTCTCCCCAATAAGCTGCACATTTGTCGGAAACGCCAATATAGAACCACTATAGCATAACACATAGCTGCTATACAAACTGACCGATTAAAATTAAGTTCTTGTAAGGAAATATTTTTAGTTGACACAATATCATCACAAGGCAACGCTACAATCTTCGAACAAAATGTTCAGATCGGATGATTATAGCATTTGGCTCTGATTAAAACTGATCGGCCAAAATCAAGATAAAATATTAAATATATGCTATAATAAATGTACCTGTAAAGGGTAAATAGCTTCGGAGCAGCCGTAGTAAATTTTTTTTTTATTAACATTTAAATATATTATATGTATGGACAAAACTGGTTAACTGTTAAACAAGCATTATTGTCATTAAATCAGTTTAACAATAACTGTAAATGAAAGGCGATAAGCACAATTAGTTACAATTCTTATGTGATTCACAACAAAATAAAACAATATCTTGATTACAATACAGTTAGTAAATGCGAGTCGTATTTTTTTGCAGCGTTTACTAACTAATAAAAAACGAACACTTTTCCATTAAAATTTTACTTGTAAAAACGTATTATTTATTACATAATTTTAACTGTATATTGAATTTACAATATTTGTTTCTGACATTAAAGGCGAATTTCCTACAATAATTAGTAATGTATTGAAGTGGTCATTAATTTTATTGAGTTACTAATTTTCCAACATTTCCACATTGGCATTGTAAAGAATATTTATAAACTTATTGATGCATTATATTGCAATTAGCACATTACACACGCTGAATTGATTGCAGTCAAACTGTTGTGTATAACTACTGTAAATTTACAAATATTTATCGTAAATTTAAACACGGAAAATTGCAAGGTTTTGCAAGAATTTGCCTATGAAGCAATAGATACACTCAAACTATATATACAAATTATGAAATATGCATGATTACAGTGTTAAACCGGAAAAAACTCATTAAAAATTCGTATAGTTTTTTTTTCAGATGCGTAATTGCAGTGCAAACAAAATAAGTCACGCATACGCCCTGGCGACCGAACTACATAGCAAACAAACACGCTACTCTTTATTTGACAAAGTTCTTTACAACTTTTTGTGGTTGATATTCTGCACTTGTTTGTTGTTGTTGTTTTTTTTTTGTTTTTTTTATAGCACTTAACTAAACATCTACTTTTTTTTTTTCTTTTTGTAGCAGTAAACTATTTCACTAGTTGTTGACTTGATAAATGTGTACTAGATGTCGCCTGCACGCTGCTTATTTGCTTATTATACCCTATATGTATACGTGTTTGTAAATATGTACAGACGCCAACGTGGGGGTAGTCACTAATATCCGACAAGTCTTAAGACAAGATTAAATAAGCTCTTTGAGTGGTGACAAATAGCGTTGAGAGATTTAAGTTCATATTCAGTTGGTCATATTTCGGAAACGCGAACGATGCTCAGTAAGAAGTTATATGCATTCTGAACCTTATCATAAACTTAGTTCTTTTTTGAGAAACATTTTTATAAAAATACAACAGTCGTTAATTGATAGCGTTCTATTGAAATTTCCAAATATAAATCCAGGTATATGTATGGTACTCTATTCTCTTCTAGCAAAAGCGCTGAATTCCAACACTCTCAAAAACTTTACAAAATCCCTTTCGGTATCAATTTACTCTAAATTTCACTTAAATTATAAAAATTTTCTAGCGTCGTTCCATGTTTCCAGTGGAAATTACTGTTACTAGACTTGCAATAATATTAGTATTAATAGAGAGCTTACACCTAAAACGGTATCTCTAGCACTTAATATGGTTCAGAGCCACATTAATACCGTAGTAAATAATTTGCAGTTGTGATGACAATCTCTATGAATACTCTTAGCCTCTGATGGCTTACTGAGGAGTGAGAGTAAGTAGTTTTTAAAAGAGCTTGCTGTCTATATATTCTAAAAAATATTCACGGTTACCCTCGTTTGGCAAAAAGTGAACATTAATTTTTTCCAAAATTTTTTAGGTTATATATCATCAATTCCTGCTTAACTTAATTATATTATTCTACTTCACAGATAGATTGTAAAATAGATCACAAAAATCTCGAAATTCTGCAAGTCAAGTTAGCCTTGGAAAAGAATTTCTGGGACGATAGTGAATAAACTGAACTTATCTTAACTTAACTCAATTTATATTCTCTTAACTTAACTTAGAGATATGTTGCCTATTTATGTTTTCACAGCCAAAATTCTCCGAATCACTGACTTATCACTTCTACCCTCGTAGAGGTATGCTAAACGTTTTCGAAGAGATTAGCTGAGGGCTTTAAATGTAGACGACATATTTTAATTCTTAATAAGCTTTGGTCGTGAGAGCACTCTAGCGGTAAGTGTGTCCACCGCATGGCAGCGCCGCCACGAGCATAGAAGACAACAGTTGCAAAAACAATCGCAAATTACATATATCACGAGTGCTTGCAGATTGTAAGAAAAAAGTTGAAGGAAAAAATTCAAATATTTTGGGCACAAATCTTCCGTGCCATACACACACATAGTAGCCTCTCCGACAGCCATAAATATCAAATTTAAGAAGAAAGCGTGCGCACATAAATTACAAATTAACATACTTAATGTAATTACAAACGCCGCCATTCTCGCGCATATTTACACGCTAAGCTCACGCCTTCGAGCCTGTCAGCCGAGTTACCCGACTACATCAATACCAATACCGATGGCGGCGTACTCATTCGCAGGATTCGCTGAACACACTTATGTTCGCCGCTACTGGCTAATATGCTGCCAAATAATGCTGTTCGCTTGTTTGTTATTTTTGCTAATCGTATTATTATGCCCGCCGTATATCTTGACCAACGGCAATGAGAACGCGTACACCAACAACAACAGCAACACTAATACGCAAAGTAACGGCGATTTTCAAACGCAAATTCGCAATAAATTAGAGGAAAATCCCTACAGTCAGCAGGAAGCGCCACATCACCTAAACCGAAGCGTTGAAGGCAACGTTGTTGTTGTTGGTGTGGTCGGTGGTTTACTTGACGACCACAATAATTTGCCCAAGTCACGCATCGCTGCTGGACACGACTATGGTAGAAAAAATGCTTGGCCTGCGAATAACCACGCGCACGCGGGGTACACATCCGTTACAGACGGCGAGGAAATTATTAGAAGCAGAGCTTGGATTTTGCATAACAGTGAAGTTAACAGCGGAAATGCAGTGCGAAATAAAACTAGCGCACAGGATCCTATCAAACTCATAACACTGGGAAATATATTGAAGAGCAGACAGAAAAAGTTCATCATTTACAGTGGAGCTGGCATGTTGAAAGTGAGTACTAATGGTTGTATTGCAAGTAGCTTCATAGAGAGAAAAGGGCGTGTACACAATTTTAGATAAATGAAAAGAGTGACTAGTTAACGAATAACCTACGGACACACAAACGGACATGGCTAAATCGACTCAGCTCGTCAAGCTGATCATTTAAGTTAAGGTATATATTTTATAGGGTCTCCGACCTTTATTTATAGGTTTTACAAACTTCGTAGCAAACTCCAAATACCCTATCCTGGGTATAATAGGGGCTTCAAAAAAAATACCATATTTGTTATAGGATGTAGGTAATTTCTTTTGGAAGAATGAGTAATTGTCATTGGTCAAAGGATTTTTAAGACACGATATTTTGTCGTAAAGTAGGACATGACACACACGTCATCCAAATTTTGAAATAATTCATATGAAAATCGATTAAATTTTTCATGTCGTAATATTTCAAAACTATTGGAATCACATACATATGTACATATGTCCCTTACCTCTGTGATCGTCTGTGTGTTTCGTATGCAGTACCGACTATTATGTCTGCGTTATTAAGTTCCCTCAATTAGCATTGCTCTCAATCCTATTCGTGAGAACAGTCAACGCGTTTCTTGGAAGAATTAGACAGTTTCAATTCACGATCGAAATCATTATAATTTTTTAATTGTTCTTCGAAGTCTTTCCTTTTACCACATAAACTTCTTCTATTCTGCTTTGTACCAAAAAGATTGTGAAAACGTATAGAAATATTGATATTTTATGAGACTCGTACACACAAAGATTAAATGTTTCTACCATATCTCTTTACAGTACGTAGTAGGTGTATCTTTTCCAATTCCTCTCGCCGATCCACACCGCTCACTTAATCACTACTATAATTTACAAATCCAATATCCAGCTTTACCAAGACCGCTCTATTGGTGGAATTTTTTCAACTCCAGCACTTTTGCAGCACGTCGCCAACAGCGTCAACAAATTGATGCCACCCAAATAAAGCCAGGTTCGCATATTAAACACGATGCAAGTCGCGAATTTATTTATAAAGGAGTCGAGAAAATTTTTGAACAGTATGTTGAAAGTTGCACAGAAATCTTTAAAAACATTTCATATAGTGATTTTGTGATCAAATTGTTTAGGCAAGGTCTATCGGGTGAATCCTGTTTACAACAAGCTATTTGTGAAATCTCCCAAGTACCGTTTCATGTACCCCGAATTTGGAGAAACGATTTGAGACACTTATGGCAGGCCATAATCAATGCTGTTTTAATGTAGCTAACTGTTCATTTATAAAATATATTTACTACATTCAAATAAACGTTTCTGTTGACGTTACAGACCTACTGTACCCAATGTGGATATGAAATATTTGCATGCCAGCCAAGCGGGACGTTTCGGTGTTGACTGTCAACAAACATTTAATCAGTGCCCGCAAAGAGTAAATGAGTGGCTACGAAGAGTGGCTAATATGGTTTGAGATACGAAATTATTTAATGAGAGCTGACCAAAACCTGTGCAAATACATTGACTAAATATGCTTGTATATTTATTGTACCATTAAACTAAAAATGTTGATGAAATAGGAGGCTAATAAAATAATGTAATCTTGATTTTTATAATAGCTTTCAAGAATGTTTGACGTATTAATCCCATAGGGCAAGTTGACGTCCACTCCGATAGTAGAGCTACTATAAAGGCCTTGGTGACAGTGAGCTCAAAGCTAGTCAAGCAGTACATGACCTCGCTAGTAAAGGCAAGTCAAGCAAAGGGCTCCCTTATCCAAATTCCATCAGGGTGAGGACGAGCAGGTGTTCACCTGTCATCGTGCATTCAAGTGTGGGATCTAATGGAACCAGCAGTTGTGGGGGATACGAAAGCCTTCTGGTTCAGAGTGGAACGTAAAAGATCCATTGATTGATGTTCTAACTGGACACTGTCTCTTTGGCACTCGCGCGGTGAGGCTAAAGATTTGGAGAACACAACTTGCCAAAAATGCAGAGGGGAAATTAAGTAGAATCATCTAGATTCTTTCTCTTCCAATGTTCAGGTTTCGCTAGACTAAGGTTGAAGAGTCTCTATTGCGAGCTTTCTACGAACCTCGCTTATTGACTGGAATTGATATTTAGCCGCCTGAATAAATTTTTGGCAGGCTCAAGGCGCTTTGTCGATATGCGACGGTCTTTTTGACCCATAACTAGGAGTTATGGACATCACTACGGACAGGTAGCTGTCCATTGCGATTATTCTTGGCGAAAAATCAGCATATTTATCTTTCCTAACATAACCTAATCCCAACGGCATTTTCAAACCAGAGGTACAGAAAGTTTTTTCGATACATTTGACTGATTGATTGATATGAGAGCTATTCGAAACTTAATCCCAGGAAACGCGTGAAGTAGGAAACAATTAAATCTGACATTTTATACGTCACTTTTTCTTTCTCTAATTTGTTATTGTTCTGTCATTGTTAGGTCAAACTGCTTGGCCACTCTAGAAATGGCCAGAACATTCCATCGTTATAAAATCTGAGTGTAATTTTTTTTTATAATAGACCATGCAGTCACCAAATTTTTCGGGAGGTGGCTAGCCAATTCTTAGGCTTTCTCGTTGCTTTTTATTGTACATACCTATCGTCAGATACCTATTACTGTACCATCGAACTTAGATACGGATTAAATTTACGATATTCGTTTATGCTCAGTTCAAACTTACCCGATCAATATTGGACCTCCATGTGGCACATGTCTAGATTTTTTTTCAAAGAAACAATTTTTCATATTTATAACTGAACGACGTGTCTCTTACGCTCGACCTAAGTAAATATTTCCCGCAAATTGTTACTTATATTTAAGCAAGTAAAAATGAAATAACATCCAAGAAACGAACTATTTCGACAAGGTTGCAATGTTGAGAAAAATGGGTGAAGAAGATGAGAGATCTTGAAAAGGTTTCCGGACGCTCTCTTCATGCGGCGTATATGTTTGGAATGATAAGCTTGGAAGTAGGGCTTTATATATAACGATCACCCTATTAGATAAGTAAGTATTAGTAACATTCGAAAGATCTTACAACAAGAATACTTTACACATTATACTTACAAGACAACTTACAATTTTTATCTGAAAGAAGGCATACATACCAATAGTCGTCATGAAATGTATCAGCAATTTCATTTTTTCATTAAAAATTTGTGCAGTAACAACTTCTTTCGGTGTAAAAATATTTTTAAAAAAATCTGAATACATAACTATTGGCTTATCTACAAATTCGAAATTTTCTATACGTCCATAAATAGTACATTTAATTTGAAAAGAAAAAAATGTTTGTTTCAGCCTTGTGTGGACGATCCCTGGCTCATGGTGGGCAACAGCTTATGTCAAGGGCTATCCTTTCCGCGTCAATTATTGCTAAGGCACAAACCGCAAATCGTTTTATAAATTATCGAGCCGAATGTTCCAAAGATGGTATGCGTTTGAAAAGACCATTAAAAAAACCACGAACCATGTGGTTAAATCCTGATTGTTGTTTGGATCCGTGTCCCAATATACAGCCACGCTTCGATGATCGCTTTTATAAAGCATCCGATAAAGCAAAACGCAAGTACACACAAACATGGGTGGAATGTCCGAAAATGAGATATGCTCGGAAGAAAGTATGCTGCTATGATAACATCATACAGCCAACTTTTAAACGACGTACTCACAAGAGAAAAATCGCTGCAGAGGAGTGTAAGCCCAGACCGACTAAATTGATGACATGTAAGACGACGTCGAAAAGGAAGTGCCCAAGATTTATCTTACCTGGTTGTAAAGCCGCTCGAGATCCTGCAAAATGTGTTTACGCACGGCCGAAGGTAGAGTGTCATAAAGTCTGTACGCCTTATCCGAGTTTCTCAGAATGTGTGAAAAAGAAAATCGGGCCACCACGGCCGATCGAATGTCGCTGTCTCGATATACCAAGTATGTGTGAAGTATGGATAGAATTTCGGCGAACTTTGGGCCTGAAACAGAAACGGAAACATTAAATCAACAATTACTAACACTGGACTAAAAAAAATGTAGGCTCTTTGTATAAAAAAATTAACCTTACTGTAACAATTAAAATAAAAAAAGTGTAACTTCGAAATACTTTGAAATATTCATTTAGTCAAAATTGTAGGATATTTTGAATCAATTTTACACAAATCACACATCGAGCTATCGTGCTGCCGATGTTTGTGGAGTTTAAAAAGTTTGTTACAATTTTCCTAAATTCCAAAACATAGACTTTCAGACATCGTGTGAGAGTTTGAGTATATAAGGCTATAGAGATCTTCCGGTGCTTTGGGTGATAGATGGTGGGGTACTTGCCGAAAAAATTACGTAATTATATATTTTCGTCTGAACACCACCCACCAAAACATATGCCTACATAAGTATATTTCTTTCATTTACTAAACGTCAATAAAAGTTTCCTCCCGTGGATGATATCATGGAATGGCTGAAGTTCCATTCCCCAAATAATTTGAAGAATGTTGCTGAATACAAAGTAATAAGCAGGATAAAAATCCGGGACCATTTCGGATAATTAGACCCGAATGTCATAGGAACCACTTAGGATTTTAAAACATGAAAGGAACATTTGAGCTAAACAAGTATTCTGCATGCAATGTCTGACCTCCTCGAATCTAAACATTACGTTAAACCATAACTGCGATTAGATGTTAGTGTTTTATTTAACAAAAAGAATAAAAAAAACACTGCTATAGTTTCGTGAGAGGTTATACGCTGTGTAAAATTTACAAATAATTCAATATTTTTAAAGGTACAAAAATTGGGAAAATGGTAAAATTATATTTCTGCCAATATTGTATATTTGATATTGGCAATGTTGTTGAATAAAAACAGCTGATGAGCTGTCAACCACGGCGAACCATCGCAACCATAGCATGTTCATACACAAGCACACGAACAAATATAAAGCAGTGGAAATATGAAGTGCCGCCTGTAGAATTTCATCAAGATCTCACGTACTACACTGGAAAACACCGAAAACTGAAACCAGTTTGGTATGAAAGCAAAAATTGTAAACAAAACTTATTTATGTACATACTGGTGGTGGCGGTAAAGAGGAGAGTCGATTTTCCAAAAGAAAGTCAGAAACACAGGTAACATTTACTGAGACAAATGCCAACTAGTCTTGTTTACTCATTATTAAATAAACTATCATCCGTGGCCGCAAAAAGAAAGTTTCGCTGCATAGTATTGCTTTACACGTCAAAGTACATTGAATAGCAGTGCACATAACTGCAAGTTGCATCCACACAGGCTTACCAAAATCATTATTTGAATCGTTTTAAATTATTTAGTGTTTGAGTTAGGTATGTAATCTTCAAACAATTCTGTAATCTTCATGACGGTGCTTTTATGTTTATTTTTACAGATAAGGTGGGTCTACAGATAAAATTTATTTAAAACATCTCCAAAGTAAAGACAGCTTAGCAGTTGTTGTTTGGCAGTAAATTATTTAACGTTAACAAAAATCGTGATTATAAATTGATGTTTTAGTATTCTCATATGGACCACAAGCCAGCAAATAGTGTTTCCTCGAAAATGCTCATTTAACTCAGTGAAAACCAAAATAATATAACAATGCTATGGCTGATTCCTAAATTGCTAACAAATTAATGCATGAATCACGTTATGACTTTCTGTTGCAACTATTTCACGCTTTATAAACATAAAAATCGGCATTTGTATGTATGCGCCTTAAAAGTCCATTGTATATACATAAATAATTGCAAAATATAATACATGTCGCTAGCGCAGCAAACTTAAAGTATCATAGTATTTATTATTATTTTAACTCATTACATTTGTAATAGAGTTGCACTCGTGAACTTACTGAAACAGCAGAAGCACATAACAGAGCGCCATTAGCCTATATAAAACTTTCGCTTCATTCAAGCACAGCTATTTACATTAAATATACAAGTTATTTGTCTCCGCATTTCATTATTGAAGAAAACAGAAGCTAAAGATTCGCTTGAGGCGATAGTCTTACACGCATATGAATTACTTGACCTAAAAGAGGTCATATGTACTTGTGGTATTTAAAAACAGTTTACTCATTGAAATGTGTAGATATATAAAAAAAAAATATAAAAAAGCGCACAACAAATAATCCACATTATTATTTTTTTTAGAAATATCTATATGTAGGTCGTACAGATTTTTACTCAAATTAAAGTACAAAATACGAAACGAAATCGGTTCTACAACATTGTAAACTTGAATTCCTGACAATGACGACACAACTGGATACCGCTAAAACAAATACTATTTCACCAACAGGCGGTGGCGATACGGCAGCTGAATCGTCAAGTTTAACTATTGACAATCAACGATCATCGCCAGATTTTAAAAAATACATTAAGGAAAAATGGAAAATAAACAGCGCATCGGAGCAATTGAGCCAAATAATATCCGGTGGCTTGGGTGCGGCAATTACACGTACCTTCTGTCAGCCATTGGACGTGCTAAAAATACGTTTCCAATTGCAAGTGGAGCCACTGAAAGAGCACATCAACCAACAATCAAAATACACAAGCATAGCGCAAGCTATACGCACAATCTACCGCGAAGAAGGTGTACTCGCCTTCTGGAAGGGGCACAATCCAGGTCAAGTGCTTAGCATAATTTATGGTGTATCGCAGTTTTGGACATATGAACAATTAAGTTTGGCGGCCAAGCAAACGATATACCTTAAGGATCACACAAATACATCGAATTTTCTTTGTGGTGCCACGGCTGGTGCTACGGCTGTTATACTTTCAACGCCTATGGATGTAATACGTACACGTCTTATTGCACAGGACAGGAGCAAAGGATATAAAAATGCAACGCGCGCTGTATCAACAATAATACGTACAGAGGGTATACGTGGAGTTTATCGCGGCTTAAATACAGCACTATTGCAAATTGCACCATTAATGGGAGCGAATTTTATGCTTTATCGAATTTTCAGTAAATCAGCTATGCAATTCTATAATGTGGAAAATCGCAGGTACATTTACTTTGGGTAAAATATTTATTAGAAAATAATATAATTAATTTCTAAAGCGAACTGCCTACATGGGTGCTGCTTGTTTTAGGCGGCTCTTCGGGCATGTTGTCCAAATCACTCGTTTATCCCTTTGACTTATTGAAAAAGCGACTGCACATACAGGGTTTTGAATCAAATCGTCAAACATTCGGTGAAAATATACGTGCTACTGGCATTTTCAGTTGTTTAAGGAAGACTATAAAACAAGAGGGCCCAACAGGTTTGTACAAAGGAATGGCTCCCACCTTATTGAAATCTACAGTCACGACAGCGTTATATTTCGCCATTTACGATAAACTCAGGCAGATACGTTGGTTTTCTTAACTACACATACAGAGGTTTAAGTTTAAAGTTAATTTTTTTTTTGTATCTCACTTTAAGCGTCTGAGAGTGTTGTTAAAAAATGTTATGTAACATAGAAATTTTGTTATGAATCCGACTTTTATTATTTCATAAGATGTTATATTATTGTGTTCAAAGTCAGCAATACTATATTTTAAAAAATAAACAAACTTTCCATTTTGTATAGTACTTTATAAGAAAGTAAAAAATAATACAAATATTTAAATTGCAACGGGAATCCGTCAACGGGCATATGTATGGTGTAAAATACAAACTGCAAACCAGAGGAGCCTTATTTTTTTTAATGTAAAACCTTAACAAATAAAACTTAGCGTAAACTGAAAATTAAAGTGCCTTCATTTCTGTAAATAAAATTTTTATCGCTTTTAAATTTGTATATAAATTTGCAAATTTTAAAACAGTTTTATTTAATTTTGAAATTAATGTCTTGGAACTCATAATTAAATAAATAGTGTGAAAACCAAATAAATCAATCGCGGAAGCTATAATACACTTAGCAGATGCATTTTTTATAGCATAAAAAGGTTTAAAAAGCTCTTAATCTTTATTTTGTTTGGCTAATTTCGTGAAGATACCTACTCAAATAAAAAAGTTTTCCATATAAGAACTTGAGTTTGATCGGTCAGTTTGAACGGCAACTATACTCGTTGTTGTTGTAGCGGTTATCTAATCACCGATTGGCTAACATGTTTAGGTTAATTTTCTTCGAATTCATCTAACGGTAGAACCAAGAAACCTGCTGTTTGTTGTTGTTGTAGCGGCAAAAACACTCTGGAAGTAATTTCGAATTTCGTCTGCAATGGATGTTGGTTTGACCCCAAGAACGCCGTTCACTGAGAGGATGTCTGAAGTTTATTGCGTCCGAAGTCTGGTCGGTATACTGTTTAATGTCGTCGACAAAGTCAAGGAAGGATCTCTTGATTTTACTGGTAGGCGATTCCGCTTCAAGCAGACGACTACAGGGGTGGTTTCTGCGAAAACATCCCAGCAGAAACTGCTTGGAGAAGAGCTCGTTGTGTTCCTTAACCTGAAGCGGGCCTTCCTTTTTATCAAAAGTTACACCTAAACTCTTAGGGTTATTGACCATCCGAATTATAATGTCATCGACGGTAAGGTTCAGATTCAGTCTGTGTTTTTTCGTCCAGTTAGTGAATATAGTTGCTGTGGATTTTGAGGGAAAGAGTGTTAAGTTCCTTGCAGAGAAAAAGCGAGAAAGGTCGGAGAGGGAGCCGTTTACTTTTGAGCACATGCCATCGATTCCACTGCCCGACGTCAATATCGTGCAGTCATCAGCGTACGAGATGATAGAAATTCTCGGAGGAGAACGGGGAGAATACACAACCTTGCGGAAGCCCCTGTTTAATTCTACTTATCTTAGATGTTTGACCTCGAAATAGTACGGATGATTGCCGACCGCTCTGGTTTTTCATAATCCACCGCTTCCTGGAGGAAGCGTGGATTGTTCGATGTCCTCAAGTAGCGTTGTGTGTTTGATTGTGTCCAAAGCTTTTGAAAGTCCAGCGCTACGAGAATCGTCTTTTCACAGGGTGCCTTCTGGTTTAGGACAGACATAAGTTAAGTAGCTAAATCGACTCAGCTCGTCACGCTGATCACTTATTTACATATTATATAGGGTCTCCAACATTTCATTTTGGTTCTGCTCATGGTATAAATATTAAACAAATAATCAAAATTATCACTATAGCACTCATATACCATGCTTCCCAAGGAAAGTCAGCTGATTAATGTAAACAAAACAACTTGATTTTTGTTTATGCTCGTTTAAGCGTACAATAGGAAACGGAGAAGAAAAGTATTGTGCTGACAGAATTTTTTGCCGACGGCTATATATTGGAACCACAAAAATGTTTCTTCTTTTCATATTTTGCTAATATTTTAAAAATTAATATATAAACAATATAACATAGTTAAAACAATAAAAAAAATTATAATACTTGATAAATACCGCGGAATTCAACGGCGCCAATTGAAAACTACGCTAGCGCAATACTCTGCGCGCACGTCTGCTTGCTTATGGGAATCCCAAATTAATTGTACACATTTTGTTTTTTTGATAGCTTGTGTATCCATTTATATACTATATCCACAAAACAACTTACAATAACATATCCAGGCATATCTAGTCAATAAATATTTAAACCAATAAAGACAATCAGCAAGAGCATAAAAACACCAAAAGAATATATTTAAATTTCATTTATGGATCTAGTTGGGATAACAAATGCAAATCAGTGCAACCAAGAGCAGCAAACTGTTAGCACAGCCGAAGATTACAATGATAATTCGTCAGAATTGTATTACTCCGAAGAATCAGAAGATGATGATCCAACGGGATTTGGGCTATATGGTAAAATCACAACCGCACAACTCAGAGAGGCTTTAGAGGAATCAACAGCTATTGCTAAAGATGCAGTTCAACCAAACAAACTTGAAATATTTTTGCATCAAAACTATGGAGATCATATAGTCAATCTGGAGTCTACGGAAACAATTGAAACATCCGGCTTTCCATATATTATAATGTTTCACAGTTTTAATGAACATGCCTCCGAATTACGTTGCTACACTGATATGCTTTATAAATCCGCACTGCAATACGGAGATGACATATGCTTCGCCATAACAGATTTTGATAATTATGAAGCCGTGCTAAATTATCGGCCACGCGCTGAAACCTACTGGAAGCGTTGTAAGAAGCTTGGCTTTAGTAAGTATCGACGGCCGGATATTTACGCAGTAGACACAGATAATCACATTTACCAATTCGTGGGACAGCTGAATGCCGATAACTTAAAGCAATTTAGTCATCAACTAATGAATGATGAGTTATATAAAAGTGAAACAATACCAAAGGACGACGAAGAGGGATTTGTGCGTATTGGGGTAGCAAGCAATTTTGAGCAGTTGGTCCTTAAAAGTGATATTGATATTTTCCTAGTTCTATATAGTAGTAAATGCCCATGTTCGCGAGAATTAATGCCAATTCTGGAGGAAGTCGGGAAGCTTTTACAAGATGAAGATATAATAGTAGTGAAAATTAATGCAGAAACAAATTATTTACCATTAAAATATTATGCTTGGTATTATCCAACAATACTCTACATAAGACGAGACGATAAGAATAATTTAATAGAATATAGTGCAGCGACGCGTTCTGTCACGGACATTATTAACTTTATAGCCAGACATGCTACAGATGATTTACTGGAATATAACAGAAGCGGTAGACATAGATTCGATTAATATTTTATTATTTTACATTCTTATTGGTTAGTATGCTGATTTTTGATACTAGCCGGAAATCGCGCATAATTTATTTATTGTGCGACATAATAAATGAAACAGCTGATGTTGAAAGAAGAAATCAAAAGCAAGTTAAAAGTTATAAGTGAAAAAAACTGAAAAAGCAGTGTATACGGCCGACTTCGGCAAAATGTAAATTTCGTACCTAAATAAATATGTATAAATTCGAAATACGTAATAAAATCGCCATATATCTCGATCATCGAGAATTAATTAATAGTATATATAACGACGATACTAAAGAAGTAGCAGAGGTTTGGGAATTGCGAGAGGAGCTTTTCCATTTTCATGAACGTGTAAAAGATGCTGAGGACCGGTGCAGTGCAACGAAGGAACCAAAGACTGAAGTGAAGGATGTCCAACTGGCAGGCGAACAAATTAATCCGAGGAAACGACGAAAATCAAAATACATAAATGCAATCCCAGCGCTGACACATTTAAAAACATTGGCAGAGGAGACTTTGCAGCGCCTGAAGCAATGTGTGCAATTCGAAACACGTACGGATAATAGTTTTCCACGCTATTGGGAAGAAATTACTATCGAAGATTTTCCCACCTTTAACGGTGTTAATAAAAACGCCACATTTCAACGTTGTCAGTTTGGCGCGCTTTCTTACCTCATACCACCGCATTGTGAATTTTTCAATTGTAATGTCGAAGAGTTAACAAAGTTACTACCACAACTAACGCCCAACTCAGTTGGCTACGATTTAATTGTGTTGGACCCACCTTGGCGAAATAAATACATACGCCGCCTAAAACGTGCGCGACGAGAACTTGCTTATAAAATGCTTAGTACCGAGCAGCTAAGTCAAATTCCTATGTTGCAGCTAGTGCATAAACGTAGCATAGTGGCCATATGGTGTACAAATTCCAGAGATCTTCAGCGTGTTGTTGTAGAGGATTTGTTGCCGAAATGGAACTTGCGTTTACTACATACATTACACTGGTTGAAAATTAACACTAATGGCAAGCTAATTGGACCCATCGATACAAGTGGTTTGCAGAAGCAACCCTTTGAAATGTTATACATAGCATGTCACTTGGAAACTGAACCAGATTACGGCGCAGATTTGCAAAATGTAACGACGATTTTAAGCGTGCCCAGTATTATACACTCACACAAGCCGCCTCTTATACCTTGGCTAAAAGAAGTGCTTCCCGAAAATCCCAAATGCTTAGAGATATTTGCGCGTTATTTGCAGCCCCAATTCACATGTATAGGATTAGAAGTTTTGAAACTGATGGATGAACGTTTATACACTAAGCGCAAAAATAATGATGCGAATTAAATTAAATCATCAAATTTAAGTTCTTTTTCAATTTATTGTTAAATGTTAATGAAAAAGTGTAAATTACATATATGAAGGCGACGCTTATCTTGCACATCGTCAAAAGCGTTTGCGATATAGTTCAATAGCATACGGTAAAATTTTAGGTTTTACTTTGTATCATTCACTTTTAAGAAAACTCAAAAACAAATTTTATAAGAATGAATAAAGAGATGTTGTGTTTAACAAAAAACACAGTGCAAATAAAAATATCAAATTTTTTTAAATTTTGTTTTAAGCAAAGTGAATTGTAGTTTTATATAAAGTATATATTAGTGGCATTAATATGGTAATACAATTTGATCATTCCTTTTCCCTGCTCTTTATTCTTGGCCCTGTGCGGCGGCAGCGGGGTTCACAATATCATCACCTCGTTTTTTCGAGCCGGACACAATATCGTCTATACGCAGCAGTAAAATAGCAGTCTCAACAGCGGTTTTATATGTCTGCATTTTTACAGCCAATGGTTCCCAGATACCCTTGACATTCATGTCAACGATTTCGCCAGATTCGCCATCGATACCCCAAGCGCAAACGCCATCACCTGCATAAGGATATTGAATTATACATTGTTCAAAGTGTTTTCACTTTTTCGACTCCTCACCTGAGTGGGATGCATGTTTTGCACGCAACGCAGTTAAAGTACGAATAGTATTGGCCCCGCAATTTTGTGCCAGCGTACGTGGAATGATTTCCAGTGCTTGTGCGACAGCAGTGTAAGGTCCTTTCAATTGTTTACGTGACAACAACTGAGATACAGCCATTTCTATGGCACCACCACCAGCTACTAAACGTGGCTCAATAATTAAATTTCTTGCTACATGTAGAGCATCTTGCAAGTTACGTTCTGTTTCGTTTAGTATATCTTTCGAGGCACCGCGCAGCAGGATTGTGCACGCTTTTGGATCCTTGCAATTAGTTATAAATGTGAAGTACTCATCGCCAATTTTCTTAATCTCAAAGAGGCCAGCACCAGTGCCGACATCCTTTTCTGACAATTCCTCGGTGCGGTTGACAATCGTTGCACCACATGCTCGTGCAATACGTAAATTATCTGTTTTACGCAGACGCCTGATTGCCGTAATTCCAGCCTTGAGCAAATAATGTTGCGCCAAATCGGAAACACCTTTTTCTGTGAACACAATATCTGGTTTGACGGCGATAATATCGGCGCAAATGCGTTGCACAAACTCCTCCTCTATTTGTAGCATGCGTGTGAAATCCTGTTCGCCAATGATTTCTACGTTTGTTTGACTTTCACCCTTTTTATATTCAAGAGAGCAATCCAACAATACGATACGTGGATTTTCGATGTAACGTCTCATCTTAGGATGGGTTACATCCTTATTGATCATAACACCCTTCAGCACACTTGACTCGTCAATGCTTCCACCGGGGATTTTCTCCACTTTAGCATACCTAAAATCAAAATTTTCATAAATATATTTATCCACTTTAGGTATTTAAATATCCTTACCGCTTAATGTCTACTTCTAAACGGCCGTTTTCGTTTAATGCCACAGTCTGGACAGCATCCAATGCAATTTTCACCGCTAAATCAGACCATTTGCCAATAAATTTTGTGCCTACGCAAGCCTTAACGACTTCGGCCATTTTTGCTTTGTTATTGACATCAAGTGGTACACTAAGGTCTGACTGCAAGTGTTTTATGATGTCCTCTAGAGCTTCACGGTATGCACGAATAATAACTGTGGGATGGATTTGTTGCTGTAAAAATGGCTCAGCGGCAGCCAGCATTTCTCCAGCCAAAACAATTACAGAAGTTGTGCCATCACCAACCTCTTCATCTTGAGTGCGAGCAATTTCAATCATGCTCTTGGCAGCTGGGTGTTGGACAGTGATTTCACGCAATATGGCATTACCATCATTCGTCATTACAATGCCACCCATGGGATCCATAAGCATTTTCAACATAGCCTGTGGTCCTAGACATGTACGAATAACGTCCGCAATCGCCTATAATTGAGAAAATTCAACATTTTGTATCATATGTTCAAGAATATTCGTTTATGAATTGTGTAGTCTTATGAGTCACACTGCTGTATACTCACCTTTCCGGCATTTATATTCTCCAGCTGCACCTTGCGGCCAAATTCACGTTTTGTGTTTTGGCCTAATAGAAAATATATTAGCTTTATCGAAATTGTATTGTTGTAAACTTATACTACTTACTTAACACAAGTATCGGTTGTTGTCCTCCAAACATTTTTAAAGATTTTTATTGAACTTTTTCACAGTTAATTGAAATCACTCGTGCAATGCTCGCGTGCGGCTACTGGTTGTCAAAAACAAAAGGTGTTGGAATGACATGAGCAAAGTCTTGTGAGGTTATACGAATTTTCCACTGAACTGTATCAACTGTTAAATGACAGTAAAATGAAATAGAAAATTACTGTTTACTTGCTTTAAATGCTGTGCGCAAGAAAGAAATAAAAGATGCGCGATATTGAGATGTGTTTATTATTGAAGTTAAATTATGTTATTATTTTTTAACTTTAATAAGGATATAAATTAAAATAATTATAACAGCATTTAATTTCTTAATTTAAAATTATATTTTAGCTTGTTAAGTTTAAATTTAATATATATTTAATTATGAATAACCATAAATTATCAAATATAACGTATACCTGCTTTAGGAATTTCTAGAAAATCCAATTTCATATATATAATTATAATTTTAAAATAAATTTTTGAATTTAAATGTCATCTTATAAATATATATATATATGGTAACTTTTACTTAACGAGTTAGTGATATTTTATATATTTTAGAGTATTTCAAATTGCCAAAACATAGTGCTAAACAGCTGATTTTGTCTCATTTGTTTATACGAGTTTAACAAAAATAAGAGATAAACGTTTACTTAAAAATGGACTCTAAGAAAATATCCTTTGGATTTAGCAAAATAACAAAAAAAACAAATTTGTTACCATCAAACAAAGATAAAGAAAAACAGGAAAACAAAATTGAGCTCATAAAATGCTTGGAAGGTCAAGAAATAAAACTTGTAGAGTGAGTAAATCCTGTGCAATATTTAATAATAATATTTATAACTGACTTTTGTATATTCCAGGGAAAAGAAAGTGGATGCTCCAATGGTCATACCATTAAAGGAAAATACAAAAACATCCGCGGCACTTGCCAGTTTAATTAAAAGACGTGCTATTCTTTTAGGTGAGGCAGATGAGCCTCCACCTAAAGAGCAACCTAGTCAAATAAGCAATGACAACAATGGAAATCACGTAAATGAAACGATAGAGGAGAGAGCGGCACGTGAATTGCTTGCTTCCGTACAAAGTAAAGGCAATGAAACTATTGATCAAAACCTTGTGCTACCAGCGTTAAAAGCAGACGAATTGCCACTTGATGGTGCCAAACAATCGACAATAGATGATTACGACAATGTGCCCATAGAACAATTTGGCAAGGCAATGTTGCGAGGCATGGGCTGGACTGAGCCTACTCAGAAGAAAGGTGAAGCTCCAGCTGATGAAATGCTATTTGTACGACCAAAAGGAATGGGTTTGGGCGCTGATAAAGCACTTAAGAAACAACCGTTATTAGTGGCACCGGAAAAGAACGAAGTACTAGAGATAAAGAAGCAAGCATATGTGCGAATTTTGGGTGGTAAACATAAAGATATGTATGGGCAAATTGAAGGTTTTGATGATCATGCTGGTCGTGTTATTGTAAAAATGGCAATAGGTGGAGGCAAAGAAGCCTTCAATGAATTCTTGTGCCAACCCGTTTCGAAGAAAGAGTATGCGCAGTACGGCAAATGCATTAGTAAGAATTAAGAGTTAAATATTAAAAACATCGCACTAATATTTAATATTTTTCAGATACTGTCAAATATGAAGAATACAAACGAATGGAGAATGAACACGGACAAATTATTATAAAAAAAGAAGAAAATCATAATAAACTTTTATCGGTGAAGAATGAGATTAAAGGCGAGTATAGAAGGGAATGCGATGACAAGTACAAATCAGAGCATAAGCATGGATATAAGGGTGATGACCCACGAAATAATGATAAAATTTCAGAAAAGGCCACACAAAAAAATAAATATGACAATGGTCGGGAACGCTTTGATCAACACAGTAGTTCTCGAAGACAGCGGAGCGATGACCGACAAAGTTACTACAGTAATGGTAGTCGAGATGAAGGAGACAGACGGCGCGATGGATACCGAGATAGCAGTGCTCGCCATTTGGAATTAGATAAACAATGCAGCAGCAGCAGTCGCCGTGAACGTTACGACGAGCGACGTAAAGAGTGTGTTGCAACCAAACGTAGATCAAGGGAACACAGCAGTCGGATCGACCATGAAGAACGCCTATCGTCAGCTAGTAGCTACAGCAGGCGTCAGCAGTACACTGACGACACCAGCGCTTCTTCTGGTACTGATAGTGATTCCGACTCAGCCTATGAACGTAAGCTGAAAAAAAAATCTTCAAGCCACAAAACGAAGTCAAAGAAGAAGAGTAGTAAAAAATCAAAACGTAAACAACGACATCGGACAACGGATACAGAGACTTCCACTAACAGTGATAGCGACGATGACGAAGATTTAAGTCGACGCGAGAAAAAGCAACACAAGAAGAAAACAAAGAAAAGCAAAAAACCACGTTCAAGATCACGATCACATGATCGCACCGGTAGGAGATCATTGTTGTAAAACAAAATAATAAATTCCGTAATAAATATATACTATATCGTTTGTATAAACTAAAATCAAAGTTATTTTGTTTACAATTATAATAGGGATATTTATTTATTGTGTAAAATGTCAACACTCACGACTCAATATTTTGCTTATATTTGTAAATTAATAATGTTTATATTTTAATATGTATATCGCCCATAGGAAAAATTTTATCTATAATTAAGGGTTCCAGTTCTTCATTACTTTTATAATTAATAAATCACATTTATATAGATATTACTTAATTTTTATTTTATTTTAATGGATCATCATTATGCTGCAAGTAAAATGTTAATGATTTCGAAATAAAATATTGGTTGAAAGATTACTTAATGGCACTAAGTTTAATGGCAATATTTTTGAGAAATTAATGAACTGATTGTTACGTTGAATTTTGTAAAGATATAGCAGGTTTAAGAGTACGTTAGCTTACTTTATATCTAAGACATTAAATACAATTTTTGGTGATTCATATGTTGATGTTTTTCGGATTGTTGCGTTGAAGCTTATATCCAAAAAACTTTCTTGTGGTAGTGCAACATTCAAGGAGAACATTTTAATATATTATAATTTAATAAATTTGCGCATTTACGCTTCCGATTTTTTTTTTCATTTTTCATAAACTCAGTAATTCATTTTGCTTTTTCGTTTTTGTTTAGTTTTTAAAATGCCAAATGTTAAATGTAATAATATTAAACGCACTATCCGTACATTTGTGTAATGATTTTCATAAATAGTATAATAAAAATGAGTAGACTACAAATTTATAGCTAAAATAAATAAATTTAAAAATGCAGTTTGTTTTCAAATTAAAAATCTATGCTGCGTTTTTAACTCTTTAAATTTCATACGCATTTACTATTTCTTCAGAATTCTACTTCGCTCTTTAGTCACTTTTCTTATTTTTTTCACGCAATTTTTGGAATTTAGAGTTAACAGCACATCCAAAATAGTCTTTGACCTTATAAAGCAAATTTTTCTGTTGCATGCCTGGATATAAGCACATTACCATAGTGATCAAGTACATCAGCAGTAGATTATTTATTACGGTGCCAATCCAAGCGAGTGTCAATAGAGTAATACTCATGATAGTGACAAACTGGAAATATAAGCAGTTGGTTATTTCAAAAAATGTTGGCCTCATCTTTCCACTTACCAAAGTGGATTTCCTTTCCTTTGCCGAGAAGAGATATTCATACCATCCAGTAAGCACTGCTTTTAAATAGCATAATTGTGTGCAGACGCGCTCAAATTGCTCTTCCTGGTTACCATTCCAATTATCTGGACTGAAGAGAAAACGCGACACTGATGGATACACGTAATCTAGTGCTAGCGAAAACAGACCCACTAGTGCCAGCGTTGTTACAGTAGACATATCCAATGCCCAGAGCAACAAATAAAAACCGCTAATGGTTGCAGTAATGATTGCTGGATAATAATTTTTTTCCCAAGACAATACCGAATCTAAATGTACTATGAGATTACGCCATGGCTCCAAATCATGCTTTAGTTTGTTGTATGCTCGCTTCTGAAAGTCAATGAATAAAATTTCAACGAAGTTTATATTAAAAAAAAATTTAATAAAAATGATTTGGCCGATATAAATGCTAATATTTTGCAAAATATGTATGTATGAATATTAAATTAGCTTTAATAAAAATATTTCTCTTACCTGTTCAACAGACATTTTTCCTTTTCAAAAATGAGTCTTTACGGCAGAATAAAAAATTTTGCAAAATTTAATGCTCTGATTTTTGTCCTTTGGTAAAATCAATAGGCTTTTAAGCAGGAATAGGCAGAAAATATATCCACTTTACCTTTCTCGATCTGTGCGTTTTCCCTCGCAGATTGTATTGCGCTGCGATTTTCCAATGCGCTTTATGCGTTTTCCGTTTGTTGTTTTTCTGTGTTTTTGTTGTTTTATAAGAACCGTTCTCTTTGAAAGTTGCAGGGATGATTCAATTTAAAACTAGCGATGTGTTTATTTTAACAAAATTATCTTTAACTGCACTAAAATTCGGTCTACGTATATTATTCGATTCGGTATATAATTGAAAACTGCCAATTTATCCGCAAATAATTAATTTGACTTTGCCTGTATTAATATCTTAAAGATAGTTAAAGTATAAAAAACGATTAAAGCACTATAACAAACAAGGTATTTAAATTTTTCAAGATTACTTTAATACTACCGTAGCCATTTCAATATAATATGGCACCATCAAAAGCACGGTTGCAATATTACATAATCCACTTTTCATACTTAATACCATTTGAGAACAAATTAATTATGGTATTCTCCTAATTGAGCCTTCAAAACAGTGGAGAGTTACATATTTTCTATCTAAGTGTGCTTTTACATTGGGACTCTTTAGACCCTCATTTTTTTTAAATTCTCTTTAGGTGTCGCTCTGTGCATTCACACGGGCAAAAAGAGTCCAGCAACTCGAGTCTAGTTTTTCTGCATTCCTTTTCACAAAATTTTCGTAAATATTTGTGCGGTTCGACTGCGCAACATTTAGAGCGTGTTGCATATTTCATTTGTATGTTGAGATGATGGTCACACATTTTGCTTGCAATGAATTACCATGAATATGGTAGAACAATATGCATAATACCTACCTATTTCATAGAAATACTTAAGACGGGAATTCCCTAATCCACCAGAATGTATTGAATATCCGCTACTAATATTTTTAAGGCCAAATTTATAACAGGAATTTCTGAATGCTGAAAATGGTAGCAGCGAGCTGTTATAAACAAAAACACAAAGCGTGCCACCCGAACACGAGTGGCACGGTCCCTTCGTCTTTCCTCGTGGTCCCCTCGCCCACAATAAACCGGTTTGGGTTACAAAAGAGTACCAATGTAAATGCACACTAAAGAGGTGTGGTTTCTTTTAAGAGGTTTCACTGAAAATAACAACATATTTTTAAATATCTTAAAGGACAAAATGTGTGTGAAAGTTGAAAAATTACATACTTTTACTTCATTGATCTTTAAGCGCAAGCAAAAAATTATAATAAACATATCAGTTCCTTAAACAAAAAATAACATTTCGAAATACAACTGGCAACTCCGCTACATAAAATCATAAACATTTGATTGTCGGAACTTCGTACTTACCTGGCAATTACTCCTTGAAAAATAATTTCTTCTTTATATTTATGAAACTTCAGATTTATTTTAAACAAAATCAACGTCAGTGTTTTATAAATTTATATTAAACAAAAAAATAAAATACAAATTAAAATACATTTTCATGTTTTAAGTAGCATCAGTAAAGAACATATTTTTTGCCAGTATCTGACGTATGACTTAAATATTTTACAGTTACAGAGAATTTAAATTAAAATAAGTTATTAAAATCCAATTATCGAAGCGAATTTGAAAACTCTCCATGTTAAATTTACAAGAGCTTCTACGATACTTTACATTTTTATGTAAATTTACATTTTCTATGTATAAAATATTTACTTCTTTTACGTACTAGGTTTTTAATTTATTCTAATACAATGTACATTATAAGCAAAACAGAAAATTCATTATTAAATATTAAAGCAGAATGAGAGCCGCAACCATACTTTGCGAACAAACAAAAGAAAATGTATACAACTCACTATGTGCAGGCGTTACTTTATACTTTCAGTTTTTGAAAATAAATTTAATAGACATTGATATTTATAAATTTCAAGTAGAAAATTCAAAATGACAAAAAAAAAACGTAAAAGTTTATTGCTTTTCACTTGGCGTTTAAGAATGGAATTTGAGCTGAACCCAGTACAACGCCTGCACCAACGTTTATATGGTAACTGAAAAGAAAACATCCTTCGTTGTCACTATGCGGTCGAGTGGAATAATTTTTCAGCTCTCTTTCTAACTTTCTGCACTTTTTTCAACTGTCCTTTCTAGGTTTTTTCTTCTTTTTCTTTGTTATAACGTTCTAGCTCTTTAAGAAATTGAGCTTTTGGTTTCATCACATTTGGACGATCCCCTCGACAATTCGGGCAGAACCACTTACCTTTTGGTTTCAGTACCAGTGAAACGCACGAAAAGTGGAACCACTCGATGGGGCACAGGTCATTATCGCAGAGTATCATTTCACCAAAAGATATCTTTCAAACAAAGAGTATAAAAAGATGTATTTATTGTAATAAAATTATTTTTATCAAATGTATTCTTTCACATACCTGATTGCATACACAATATGTTGGTTCATCTGGATCAATTGGATCCGGAGGTGGTGTCTCTTCACGTACATTTGCCTGCGCTGATGATTGTCCACCTCGTGTCTTTCTTTTCTTCTTCTTGCCGGAATTGTTACCACTTCCCGCTCCAACTCCAGATGTATTTCCACCACCAGCACCACCGCTGGCACTGGCATTTTGATGCTGGGAATTATGTTTTTTTTGCGCTGCAGCACTAACAAGAGATATTTTCTGTCCGATTTGTCGTTCATTGCCACCTCCTCCATTACTTCCACCACCTTCGTTAGCAGAATTTGATTCATTTCCACCAAATTCCACATTACTGTTATTCATAATCGCACTCTCGTTACGCCTTCGAGAACGTTTACTAGCCGAACGTTGACTTTCTAGGCCTGTCATTGAAGCCGTACCTGCATTGCTGCCGCCATTGATAGTCCCACTACCACTGGTACCATTACTTGCATGGCTAGATCGCTCAGAATTCGGCGTAGAGCCACCTCCACCCGCACCGCTCGATAAACCACCTAAAATAAATATCAGTGAATTTTGTTTAAAATTTTTTTTTTTATGAAAAGCCAATTACCATTTGCGCAAAATGTATTATCACGTGTAGGACTTGAAGCTCGCGCTTGTTTCGCTGGTGTTGGCCCCCCAATTTCGTCAGCTTGTTGCAATTGATCAATACGACTCTGTTGCTGTTGCATTTCCTCTTTAATATCGAGATTTTTTTGATCACTATCTAGTTGTCGTGTCTTATGATCTATCAACTCCTGCAATAAATTTACTATTTGCATTTTTTCATCACCCAATTCTTGTGCTTGTATAAGGCTCTGTTGCATGCGGGCAATAGCTCTGGCACGTCTAGTACAATTCCCTTCACTGCCGTTATTATTCTGTAATGAACGCCACAAATCGTAATAATGATCAACGTCACGCAGCAGGCCTGGAAATATGAAATTAATACATATATAAGATATTTCGCAATCGAATTTGAAAGGCAATTGCCCACAAAAGGTTATGTCGACTTGATTATCAATCTTTCACTTGGAATACTAACTCCTGTACTGTACATCTATATCACGTATACGGGACAAATGCCGTTGCACATCATCTGGAAGATTTTCGACCGAATCTATATAATTATCGACATATGTAGCCGAATAGAGTAATGCTTCAGTTGAAACGGGATTCAACATTTTGTAAATGATAGTTTCTTAACTTTCTGGAACCACATTTAATAAAACTTGAGCATTTACTTGTCCTATGATTTTATGTTTTACAGCAGCGCTTGCTACTTTCGCACTTCACTAAATATACAGTGATGAATATTTTTCTATACATATATTCTGGAAATAATTTAGGGAAAATCTCCAAACTTTTCCTATTTGTTGAGATGTTTAACGAATCTGTGTGGCGTATTTGTGGAACGTGCCAGTGGTCCTCATTCGTCGACTGTACCAATGTGGATATTAACTATGCATTGTAATAGATTTCTTATGAGCAGCTGCAGAGTTGCATATTCGAAATTTTTATGAAATCTCTCAACGCACTCAAAAAAATCTAGCAAACTAATAATTGCCTGGCGATTACATATAATCGATACATTTTGATTTGGTAATCGTGTTTCCCTAGTCATTTCGCCGGTTATTTGATTTCATTCACTTTGCGTCTTTTGTACCATCCGGTCATTATATATTGAGATCATTCGTTTGTTATTTCGCTTTTATCCGGTTTATATTCCTTGTTTGGTAACATTTAATTTTTTAATACCGCTACATTCGAAAGAAATTTGTGTAGTGTGAAAATCGGCATCAAGGAAATTTTTTTTGTGCTATAACCTAAAAAGTGCTTAACTATCCAAACGGTACTCTATAAAATTAAATTTGTCAAGTGTTAACGTGAGCGCATTCTTACGTACGGTGTTCACATTTTTATAAACTTTGAAATTTGAATTTCTGTCGAATCAAACACAAAATCAATCAAAATGATCAGCAACACTAACTTCACCGGCATCACCGATAACAACAAGCCCACTAGCAAGTAAGTACATATATATTTAGGTGAAGAATATATTAAACGGAGTGCGGTGCAGTGCAGATTTGGTGTTTTTTGTGAAAATTTTCTAGTTCAAAGAATATTTGGTATACATAATTCACATATTTATATGCACTTGATCATATTTTCAAGTCTTGCTTTCTGTATCCTTTTATATTGCCTTCGCCAACACATACGCGCGTAGAAAAGGGAAACGTGATAAATAAAAGATGTCTACGGTTGCGCAGCTTACTTCTCGTGTATTTGCCATTAATACCCTTTGGAATAGTGCGACGAAAGGGAATGCGAATAAATGAGAGTGTAGAGTTAAAGATACAAGGATAAAGCATTCCCTGATGAACACTTTTTTAAGATGAATTTAAATTTTTGTGATTTTTTTTACGTACATATGTAAAAATATCTACATATATTATAATGGGAACTTTACTACATTTTGTATTTAAGTTGTGGATGCAAAAAAAAACGGTGTGCAGGCTCATCTAGTAGTTTCAGTTAGTTTACATATAGATATGTACTAATATTATATGGTATACTTTCATAGAAAACATTAAAATTCAACTTGTAAAGATAATATTATTGAATAATTTTAATATATTTAAGGATATAATTTTATGATTGAGAAATCTGTCTGAAGACGTTTTTAAATATAATTTGGACATCATTTATTTCTGCATTTTGTTTATGAATTATGAAACTATAACGTTGGTTTTGGGTAATTTTGTTTTCTATGCTCTCTTAACATATGTACATATATACGATGTATTTATGGCATTAATTAAAGGTAATGGGTACAAAACATATATTTTTATCTCCTTGAGTTTTGCAAAGTTTATAAAATTATTTTTAATTTTAATTGTGAATTTTGCAAGTCTATGTAGTCTATACATTGTTAGTCATTCTACAAACGCATAATAAAAGGTTATACAATATAACATGCAGTTTGTCTTATCGCTAAATTAGCAGAATATAGAGCGTTCTGCTGCGGTCCAATTACTAATTGTTTTCCTTTTCGCCTTTGCATGAATAACGTGAGAATCGGTAAGTGGATTGACGAGCAGCTGATATTATATTATTGTTTTTATTAGTTTTCTATTGTTATTCTAAACCAAGTGTTATCGGCATATACTTCATGGACCAACACGCAGACGTTTGTAGATAAACAAACTGCTGATTTTGCTTTTTGAATTCGATTTAGACCTGAACTGACCGTTAGAAATATTTTAAAAATTAAAACAAATAAATTTATTATATGACATGCTGCAACTGACAAATGGTATATATGTACATACATACATACATATGTATGCTTATCTTATGAAAAAGCCTTATCGCCGTCACAATTTGCTTGTTATTGCTTTGACTTCCTAAAACTTTCGCGTACTGAACATAGACGACCATGTATACATACATAAGTATGTACGTGTGGATTACTGGCTACTCTTTTTCGTGACTGTTGCTCTCTGTTTTTTTTCACTGCTCGCTGCCAATTTTCACACCAATTCAAAATAACGATCGTTGGAGCTCTTGACTATGGGCAAGCAGTGGGTGTCATATAGCGTAATTGTTATAATTCTCATTACTTTGGCTTCGATATACACCGACATGTATACATAGTATATATAATTAATATATTGCCGTAATATAGACTTCACTCAGCAACTGAATCTTGCCATACAAATTTTATCGAAGTTGGTAGCAACTTTTTTATTAATCTCAAATTTGTTGCTGTGTTTTTGTTTTTGTAGTACATATGTATGTACTCGACATACGTTTTTTTTTCCATCTTGTCTTCCTACTTACCAGCTGGTGATGAATAGCAATTTAGTTTTATTTCTTCCTCTAACTCTTTCGTGGATTGCTAGCAGTCAATTCTGTTGTTGTTACCGATAACATTTAGGAGGAGGCCTTTATTCCACGGACTTTAAAGCGCAATCTTGTGAGTCACTGATGCTTGGCATGTGCCGATAAAAGCTTGTGTATTATGCGTACATATGAGCACACTATTCATACATACATACTTATTTATTTCATATGTACATACATAGATATGTACAGCTACGAGCAATAAAATAGTAGTGGACAATAGTTAAATAAATGTTGCTATATATTTGGACCTGCATAAGATATTGGTACCAATTACTTTTAAAATAACGTTCTAAAGTATGTAACGTCTATTTTTCACCCAGTTTGATTATGTCAAATGTATTCCGTTATTTCGTAAAACAGATAACATTGCGATGCTTGCCTTTCTCAGCGAACAGTGAAACAGTAATGGACAATAAAATTTGTATAAAATTTTATTACACGTAGTTTTTAATATGAATAAATAGTAAGTTATACAGTTATTTCCCATTTTTTAAAATGATAAATGTATAATGTGTTTCTATCCTGAATCCCCTAAAACTGGTTCCCACTACAATTTTATTGCTGCCAGCTGTATATACCTAAGATAAAATTATATGAAATTTAGTTCATTAAGACGGTCTTTGAATTCGTTGATTTATATTGAAACAAGGAAAAAACGTTGACTGCGGCCAAACCGAACCTATAATACCCTTCATAGCAGCGTTTCTTATGCTATAAGTGTATAAGTTCGAATAGTCGCAATGTTACGACTATTCGAATATTATTATTCGGTTTATAATCGTACGAACGCTTACAACCCGGATGTTCGAGTAATCGATTTTCGGGTTATTTGAATATTTTTATGAGCCCTAGTACATATTAGAAAATAAAGAGGTCTCTAAAAATCGCTAAGTATGTGTGAAATTAATACAAACACTTAATACAAGTACAAAATGAATTAATTATATTTTTTTCTTAACTTTCATCGCGTTTTAGTTTTCATTAATTGCTTTCTCTTGCTACAAAAATGTGTCCTACTTTTATTTTATTTAATTTTTTAATTCTTTTTATTTTCGTCATCGCGTGCTAACTCATCACTTCCACTGAAGTACATATACTCATTTTGGTTAAAGAACAAAGAGAATTACACTTAAAAAATAGTAAATTACGGAGTGCCACCCAACCGATGCTATTTATCGCGCCACTCAATTCTCTCATACATAAATACGTATATTAGGGTGGGTAAAGCAAATACGAAAATTTTTTTTTTCGCTTGGTACTGTGAAAATTATGTTCATAGGTTCCTTTACAAAAATCTCTCCAAATATGAGCTCTTCATTGTGACGGGAATGTTCTCCGCCTTACAGTTTTCTATTTCTTTCTTTTTTTATCAAATATATTATATTCATATCTTTCGTTCAACTATTTGAAAAAATATCTCGTTTCATAGATTTTGTAGGAAATTGAATGCTCTACAAAATGGTCTCTTACGATTTTTACGCAAACCTAACCGTTTATAAGATATTTACGGTTGAACTTTGATTATTTTAAAGAGATTTTTTATGAGTTTTATACCTCAATGCAAAAAAAAATCATTATAATTCGGAAAACTCATAGTTTTGTAGGAAATCGAATAGAATCTATGAAACGAGATGTTTTTTCCAGCAGTTGGAAGCGAGAAATAATTTTTTTTTATCTTCCTTACCGTTACAATTAAGAGCTCATACTTACATAGAGGTGTCTAACAACCTATTTTTCAAAGTATGTTACCAAGCGAAATAATAATAATAATTTTTTTGACCTACCCTAATGTATGTGTATCATAAATATAAACATATTCATATGTGTTTGCACTAATTTCTTTTTGAATTACATATATCTGATAGAAGTTCAATATCAAGTTGCGGAACTGATTCATACGCTTAACAGCCGATGGCAAAACTTTTGACTGATGAATCAGCTGATTTATATACGTAGATAATTATTTTTTATGGAGACAATTTTTTACTTCAAATTTATAATGCTACTATTTCTATAAATCTATGTAAAACATTTTTCAAGTAAAAAAATATAGTTTTATCTATGTACATACATACATACATATGTATAATTTTTCAGACAAACGCATATGATTTGATGTTATAGCCAAGAATATGGCTTTATTATAAAGATAAGGGTTTACCATTACGTTTTAAATATGATTGATACTGACTGAACTGAATAAATTCCAGACGAAACTTTCGACTGATTTTCGCAGCAATTGCAGCTGTCTGTTAGCAATAACGTGCCGAATATTCTCTTCTAAGCTGCCAATAGTCTCCAGCTTATCTGCTTAGACAAGCGATTTTACGTAAATCGCAAGGTCTCGGAGGCGACGTTACATCCCCACTAGGCGAGATAATGCGCTCATCAAATTATTTTAGGAAACTTTTGATGAGCTTTTTTTTTTTTTTTTTTTTTTTTTTTTTTTTTTTTTTTTTTTTCCTAAAATAATTTGATTGTCAAAAAAATCTCAAAACTGGTTTGTGAGTTATCGTCACTCCAAATGCCAATATTTTGTTTATCCAACCCATTTTGGTTATCCATCCATTCCATACTTTGCTCCATAGCTGCGACAGTGTCATTCGTGCGCACTCCGACGGCGTCTCTGATGCGGTGCGCATTATCCACTAAATAGACGTAATGTAAAATCGGTCCATGGTTGCTGGAATTATCGACCCTGCTGGGATTATATCGACGGAGCATTGGATGTAGGGCGCGAATCATTATTTTGGTAATAAATTTGCACGATTTGCAAACGTTGTTTCGAAGCTCATTATAAAATGGCAAAACCAAATTGAGTAGAAATCAAGTGACAGCTGTCAAAAAGACCAACTCCGAAAAAAGTATTGCCTCACTGAAAACCACTCCTTCCACCATTGAATAATTTTTATATTTCTTCATGGTCGCTATTGAGTATAATCTAGTAGCTGCTTCTGAATGAGGCATATAAAACAAATATTAGAAGGTATTCTTGGCTTTATACCCTGAACAGGGTCTATTAAGATTGCTACGAAGTTTGTAACACCCAAAAGGAAACGTCGGATATATATGAGTGATCAGCGTGACCGTCTGTATATATGCGAATTAGTCCCTCATTTTTTGATATATCGATCTCTAAGTTTGCTCATTTCTCGGAACTGCCGATATCGGACTGCTATAGCATATAGCTGCCATACAAACTGAACGATTGAAATAGAGTGCTTCTATGCCAAACTTTGTTATTTGCGAGATATCTTCAAGAAATTTGACATGATTCATTGCCTAAGGCAATAATGCCATTTTCGAAGAAATTGTTCAGATTAGGTCAATATAGCATATAGCTGCCGTTTAAACTAAACGATCTCAAACAAATGCTTGTATGGAAAACTTTTTCATTTAAAGAGATATCTTCAAGATACAATCTCCGATCGAAATCGATATAAAGATGTTTTTATACTCCTTTATGCTATAAGAATGTACCTGTGAAGTTTTTTATAGCTTCAGTGTAACCGAAATTAACGTTTTTTCTTTTTTTTTTATAATTAATTTTAAAGCAGTTTCTTTATATTTAATTTCTGACAAAGTGTTCTTTTTAAAGCTTTACTTGCTTAGTTTTGTTTTTTGCAAACTGGCGTCACTAATGTCTAATGCCTGCAAATTATTTCAGTCAAGGCAATAAGTTGTGTTTGTAGAGCGTTGTTGACATTATAAGGTCCTACATGTCAAAGTAAGAAAATCACAAAGCAGTAAGGGGACCACGTACAATGCGGTAATATAATACCAGACGACTACTA